CCTCATTAATATTTTATTTTGCTTCCCACAGGTTTATATGAAGCCAGGTCTTGGTTTCTTTCATCTTTCACTAAACAGCATACATTCTGAACCACATTACAACTACAGTACATTCAAGCTACAGAAGCAAACGATTATTTTTTTAGATGATTTTAAAGGGCACCTATGGTGAAAATCTACTTTTCAAGCTGTTTAGACAGACATGTGTGTGGGTATAACAGGGCCGGAGTGGGCTTCTTTTTCATCCCTGGAGTTTCAAGCCTCAGACCGGCCCACCTCAGTTCACGAATGACTATATTAAAATAAGGACATTTCCAATTCAGTTTCTAATTACACTATCACGTCTTTTTTTTTTTTTTGAGAAAAAAGCTGCTTTAGAACTTTAAATGTTCAACAACCCTAACTGTATTATATGTCTTAAAAATAAAAATGAAAAAAAGAAAAAATAAATAACATACTCAGACGAGGATCAAACCCAGGTCGGCAACGTCGCAATCTAACGTGCTAACCACTAAACCACAATAGATGATATATACAAAGTGACTCATCTGAGTAATATGATCATTAACCTGCAGGCTGGTTATATAAGAAAAAAACAGAGCTGCAGTAAAATAATGAATGAAAAGACTGTGGTCAAGTAAATAAATAAATAAATTTAAAAAGTGTTACTGCTTAGAGCAACAGATTCTGGAGCTAGGGACACCGGCCCTCGCGGCCAAAAAACGGACCGGCCCACCGGGAAATCTCTCGGTCCTCCCGATTAGCCAATCCGGGCCTGGGGTATAGTGTATAGACCGTCATATTGGGGTGAAATACACACACACAGTCCTTTTGTTTTCAATTTAACAACATAAAAACGATGGACCAATTAGAGCGGTTTTCAGATAGACCGTAACTTGAAATAGGCGTGCTGTCCCCCCGCCCACCGAATTGATTGACAGCTGCGCACATTAACTTGTCCCGGTAGTGTTGTGTATAATCACGTCAACAAGACCAGATGTGCGCAAAACAACCGGGAATAAAAGGTGTGTTCAGTTCACTAGGAGCATCAATCATCACCAAATGTGATCAAAAGTAAGTTTCACATGTTTAAAATGTTTTAAAACAGTGCACGTGTGTAATGAATTACAGCGATTTACTTCTGATTTACTTTCTTTCTAAGTAATTTAAATGAACAATTGCTTTGTTTAAATAAAAGTATGTCCAAGAGAAAGCTAATACGTTTCTTATATGTACACGAGCTGTGGAATTTATTGTGATGCGACAGGGCGCCACCTGAAATCTTGCTTAATTGCCAAATCTTGCCAAATTAATTGTCCTGTGAGTGTTTTATAATGGATGCGCGCCCATACAGGAGGATCTAGCAAGGCTCATTGGTGTTTCTGTCATAGAATGTAAAACAAACTTGAATATGAGCTTCAGACGGGCTCTGGCGGAGCTATATCAGTGATCTCCCAATAATATCCAGCTGCAAACTCTACCGCCACCGCCAGATCGACGCGATTCAACAGATTTAGGGTGTTTTACTGTATTTTACAAATTTAAAAAGGTTTATCTTCCAGCAGGTCAATGACCCAAAGCACACCACCAAAATATTAATGGAGGGGCTTCACAACAACTCAGTGAATGTCCTTGAGTGGCCCAGTCAGAGCCCAGACCTAAATCCTATTAAACATCTCTGGAGAGATCTGAAAATGGCTGTACAACGTCGCTTACCATCCAACCTGATAGAGCTTGAAAGGTACTAATGAGCAAAAATTCCCAAAGACAGGTTTGCCAAGCTTGTGGCATCATATTCAAAAAGACTTAAGGCTGTAAATGCTGCCAAAGGCACATCAACAAAGTATTGAGCAAAGGCTGAGAATACTGATGTGCATGTGATTTTTCAGCTTTTTTACTTTATTAAATTTGCAACAATTTCAAAAACTATTTTTTTACATTGTCATTATGGGGTATTGTGTGTAGAATTTTAAGGAAATAAATGAATTGAATCCATTTTGGAATAAGGCTGTAACATACAAAAAATGTGGCAAACATAAAGCGATAGGAATACTTTCTGGATGCACTGTATTACACATATATACACATGTAACTCTGCCAGTCTGACACCACCCAACCCACTCCGCGCTGGTATCGAACCGGCAACCTGCCGCATGGGAGTCAGTTGCTCTACCAAGGAGGCTAAAGACCATGACTGCTAGTGTCAGTCGCTAGAGCACCTTTAGAGGTCAGAGGAGTGAGGTTTACCTGCACAGCACACACTAGCTGGCCTCCGTTACACACACACATATACAAAACACAGATACATACCAAAGAGCTTAGAATGAACAGGCGACACTCAATAGAACGTTCCATTGCAGATTCTGCCATTTTGGAGTGAAAGCGATCGGCTGTTCATTGGATCTTATTGCTGTTGCGATGGCAAGCAGCTGCTTTGTTTTTTATTTATTTATCTAAAAAGCAAATTAAAGCTGAGATACAACCTGAAAGACGATAATACAACTCATCAGCACTTTTAATAGCTTATTTTACAGACTTATAATATGCTGTTGCTCTATTGGAGTTTTCATTCCATAATGGCCGCCGCGCCATCTAGTGGCTGTCTCCCAAATTGCACTAGAGTGTCGCCTCTTGGTGACTTTATGCTCTTTGTACTTGCGTTTTCCAAGTTGCTGTAAATCATTCAGGCAAAACTGTTTTATAGAACTTTATTGTATGTACTTGTACATTTTAAATGCTCTATGCTTGTAGCTAAAGACATCTCAGACAATCTCAGATTGTGCTCTCTTTTATACAACAATATACAGTACATCTGTGGCAAACATCAGCAGACACAATCCACACTTTGTGCTTTATCTTTGTCCCTGTATTTTTGGTATGTTATAACAGTATCACAAAAGGTTTGACAAATGGTATACACGGGCATGCGTACAACGATCTAGACCTTTTCAAGTCAACACCAACACCAAACAACACCTTTCTGCGGTGTGTTCTGCAACATCCTTTTGATGCATCCATATATTAGTTTAATCTCACGCATACAGTTTTGTCAGTCTTATGCTACTGGCTTTCCTGTTGGTAAAAAAGAAAACATGAAAAGGACTGAACAATGGGGGGTGCAGCTGCTGATACGCCAGACATCATTTTAAACAGGATCTGCTTGGCAGGAAAGCAGGACATGATTATGTGAGCACCTAAAAGCAGCAGACACAGACAAAATGGCTTACAAAACATGCACCAGATGCTTCTTCTTGCTGGCCTATTTCAAGAAGTTGCTTAGTATTGTCGAAATATTTTCTTTTCTGCATGTCTTATCGCTGGTTCTTCATCAACATATAAACAGGATGAGCTTAAAAGCCAACTGATCCTGCATAGAAGCAGTGTGGTTGCCTTGTGATTAAGTTTTACCCACAACTGATTTATATCTTAACTGTATGTGGAAGGGTCTGCAAGCCAGTGATGGTAGCTTGGCTGAGGTATGAAAATGGGACAAAAAGCAAAAACACATTTGGCTCTATGGTCTGTGCCTCTTTGAGTGTTGAAATGGAAGCCAGCTCTAATATCCGCCCAGGCAGTGACTATTCTTAGAAAGGGCACAGTTGGGACCACATGCATTATTTATGAGGTGGATTCACATTCATCTTTCAACCTCTGGAGCACCTCAAATCAGCCACTGTAGCACTAAGGCCGTACTCACACTAGGTACAGTTGCCTCGAACCGGGCCAAAGCACGCTTGTCCCCCCTCCCGTCTCCCCCGACGGCCCGCGCTCACACCACAAACGGGCTTCGGCGCCCTTACGTCATCGCTGCTGGGCTGTTCAGTGAGAAGCGCTCTCACTCAGCAGCACAGTGGAGATTGCTCTAGTTATATCGTTTCAGTCGTTTGATATGCCGTTAAATATTTCGCCAAACAGTCCTTAGGGATGCGGGGACACGCAGTCAGATATTTCGCCGAACAGATCCGCCACTTTCGGCGCTCATAAACATTTCAAAAAATCATTAAGCCCTCGTGCTGCAGGAATGAGGAGGTCTGCTGAAGGTGCGCAGCTGTCGTGAAGTGAGGAGTTCTCGTCTTTAATAAACTACGGCAGTTTGCGTTCACTGAACAGTAAGAATTATTCATAAATCCATATGAAACAGCCCCTTAAAAGTCACGTCTCGCTTTCAGTTTCGGGCTTTGGCGCGTTTTGCACTCACACACAAGCATACCGCGCCAAAGCCCAAGTGATCCGCGCTCAGGCACACCTCTTCCAACTGGGCCAGGGCCGGCCAAGTGAACCGTGCTTAAGCCCGATTCAGCGCACTCACACTTCTCAAATGATCCGGGAAACGGGCCTGGGCACGGTACGGATGGCATAGTGTGAGTAGGCCCTAACATACTGAGGTCAAGAATTCAGTTGTAACAAACACACACTTAAACGTAAATATGTGTAGCTCAGCAAGGGAGCAAAACCAACAACGCAAGTAAACAATTGGTTTTCTAGAAGACGAAGGGGTCACTTGGTATATCAGCCAACACTGACAAAAGGCAGTAGTAGTGTGAGTAGACTAGCAATAGTAGTGGTAGTGAACATGAATTATTGTAACTTGCACTTTACAGTCGAAAGCTGCTATCCCTCAGAGACGGTATTTGCGTAGAAGGTCAGCCTGCCACATGTACTTGCGCTCTGGGAAGTGCTCAGGAATCTTGATCTTGCGAAAGTCCTGGATGCACTTCTCCAGCTCCTCTTCCACAGACAACTTTTCTTTTGCTGGCCGTTTCTTGCAGGTGCTAGTGTCTCGGGAACTTGCAGTGAGGGTCCGGAGAAGGTCGCTCTTACGGCGATGCTCGGACTGTTGCTGCTGCAGGAGATGTTGAACAGGACCTTTCTTGGGAGGCCTATCTAATGTTTGCACATGTGTTTGCCGGCTCACCGGGCCACAGATGACGGTACCTTGTGGAGAGCTGGCCTCAGAATGACTCTCTGAGCTTGAAGTGGAGAGCTCGTTGAAAGAGGTTCCACTCTCACCTTCACCCTCAGCTTCACCTTTGTGTCCCTTGCAGCAACACTCGCAAGGCGGAGATGACCAGCGAGATGGACCACCTGGAGGTAGAGAAATTTTTTTTAAAAACAGTTTAAACACATGGATGTGAGCACAATAACATTCAAGAGTTCACACTTAGTAGATGATTGATTATAAAGCTTGTTTGGCATGCTGTCCTGGGAGAGAGCCCCGAGCTCTGTTTCATCAACAATCACATTAGAGAAAAAAATGATTATTTCAAGAGTTCACACTTAGCTCATGATTTATACATAGCTTGTTTGGCATGCTATCCCAGGAGAGAACCCTGAGCTCAAGGGATCCTCGAGCCCAGGGCTCCCCCCCTTTTGCAGGGTGAGGGGAGATTGAGCTCAGGGCGATCTCAAACTCCCCCGCTGCTGAGGTCAAGGCAAACTTCCTGAAAGTAAGACATTATAAAAAAAAGGTTTAGGCTTATTTTATCTATAATATAGAGCACATTTGGATGGTGGGAGGAAATCGGGGAACCCGGGGAAAACTCACATGGACACGGGGAGAATATGCAAACTCCTCACAGAAATACCAGATGGCTCAGCGAGAACCCAAATCCATAGGTATTCTTGCTGTAGGGCAACAGTGCTAGTCACTGGGCCACCGTGCCACCCATTTTGGATAAAGGAGGAAGAAGGGGAGGTTTCTCCCAGATGAAGATATTTGTAGAGAGGAAATGAGGATATATATAGTGACTTGGGATCCTTTGATTGGAGGATCATGATTACCTAATGTGGACCAGCTGGGTCAATCATGAGCACATCGAAATTTGTTCAAAATTAAACTTCATTTAAAATTGTCCTGCTCAAACTCTGAAATACTTTGGGTTATTTATAACTTTTTCATATCATCATATCATATGCTGAATTCTTAATGAAATGCTATTGTACTTGACCACTGTTTTAAAAAAAAAAATAGGGAAGACAAACATCTTTAAATGCTATTTTAGACTTTATGGCTTTTTGTAAATTGACTAGTAATCGATCACATTAGGTTAGTACAATCTGACTTTTTAGTGTAGGTGAAAATATGCAGCATGTAAAAAAGCTGTGATCATACACTGCAAAAATGCTTTTCTTACTTAGGTTTGTTTTATGCCAATGGGATAAAGAAAAACAAGATTATTTTGCTTGTTTGAGGAAAAACTCACAAATGATTATTTTCACATATTATTTTTTAAAAAACAAAACAATATATTTTGTTATCTTCTTGACCTTATATTTTTAGATATTTAGACTAGAAACAAGACAAAAACTCTGATTGGCATTGCATCGTGAGATGAGTGCATGACAGAGATTCAGAATTATTCCTTTACAGGGTAAAGAAAAAAATACAAGGCTGTTTTCAAAGGCCTGTCACCGGTTAACTATGTGTGTTATTCTTCACTGCATTGATCTGCACTATTACACAACACTGATCCATGTCAGATTTTAATTACACAACTTCAGCTCATTTGCATTTAATTATGCAAATAAAAGTCGGGGTGTCAAAAATGATTCACAGTGATTCATTGATCAAGCCCATTAACCTTCTATATGAATGTTTACACTGAAAGTCGGGTCAACATAGTTATAATTAAAAGTAATTTAAAAGGTAATTGTGAAGTTATGTCCACATTTAGGAAATGATATTTGAGGAGCTTATCGAGAGTGTAAAATTACCATCTTCCAATGTGAAACACAACAGTTCACACACAGACAAAAAAACAAAAAAAAAACAATAAACCTATTTTTTTTTACTGTTGAACACATACGTGGTAACATTAAATGCCATGTTTAACATAAGACCACGAAATTTCAGCTATAATATATAACATAATGGTGTGTGTGACACGGTGGCGCAGTGGGAAGCACAATCACCTCACAGCAAGAAAGTTGCTGGTTCGAGCCTCGACTGGGTCAGTTTGTATTTCTATGTGGAGTTTGCATGTTCTCCCCGTGTTGGCATGGATTTCCTCCAGGTGCTCCAGTTTCCCCCACAAGTCCCCCGCATGGAATAGGTGAATTGGGTAAGCTAAATTGGCCGTAGTCAGGGCTGGATTACCTTGAGGGCTAGGTGGGGCTGAAGACTCGGGGCTCATGGAAGAAGAGTGACCTTGATTGGCTAAAGACTTAATTTGCGCTATGACGCAAACAGAAAATGCCTCGTTGGTAATATGAAGTATTCCTTTTGGTTCGCTGCAGTTCAAAAACAGTGACGCCGGTGCTAACCTGGAGCTTAGAATGGTTGTATCCCAATCAGATGATGGGTGTTTTAGTCACCTATAAGGGTGATAAGATTTCCCAATTTTCCCAAGGCATTCCCCTAATCCAGCACTACCGCGAGAACTTTCCAGTCAAAGGTAGGCTAACCAAGAGCGTCTTAGAACAAAAAATAAAATCCAAAAGTTTTCATTATTGATACACTTGTACATGTAGTAACAGAAGCTGGAATAGGCGGAATCATGCTGAATGGACTTATATCTGAAGTGCAGTCTCGGCCGCTTGATGATTACAGCTGGATTTAAAAAAACGGCACACGCCTGCACAATCCTTCCATTACAAAATATAACCGAGACATTGTGCGAACAAATGAAAAGGCCTACACAAGCAGTTATCAAAATATCCAGTGTTGCAGAGAACAGTAAATCTCTCTAAAGTAAATACACTCAGGCCCCGTTTACACTAGTGCGTTTAAGTTTGAAAAGTTTTGCTACGGTTACGCCATACATCCACACTACGCCGGAGTTTTCGAGCGCCGAAAACGGAGCGTTTTGGAAACGCTGGAGAGGCCGTTTTCATTCTTTAGCGCTGCTGCCCTGTCTCAGTGTGGATGGGGGATTCGTCAAGCCCCTATCACATGGCTATAACACACGGCTTTAACGCTACCTGAAGACAGCAGACCAGCCTTCACTGTAAACAACAACATGGACACAGAAATGGGAGCGTTGTTTGCACTACTGTCTGTTTAGTGTCTGTCTGCATTGTGCAGTCATTCACTCGACCTCGTCGTCTGTCCACAAAAATACCTCTCTTGCTTTCTTTGCCATCGCGTTCATTGTTCAACTGGTGTTTGTTGACTAACAATAACCAAATGCCGAGCGTGACACATGCTTTCTGTTTAAACTAGAAAGCACATGCCCAGAGTGCGCGAATGGTCATGTGATATATGTTTTTGGCAGCGTAGTGTGGACGGAGATATGTTCAGGAACGCTAGGTGAAACGCTAGTGTGGACATGCATCATTTTTGATTTAAAACGACGTTTTAAAACTAAAAGGCACTAGTGTAAACGGGGCCTCAGTTTTGCTTTACAGTCAGGGCCAGAGCAAGCTGAACTGGCACACTAGGCAAACGACAATCACTCTGCCCTCAACTCGAAAGTGAAAATGGAAGACAGCAGTCCGGTTGTAATGATTTGGGAATCCCCGGCCCTCCACCGAGGAAATGTCTTTTTCTCAGAATGACCCATCTCAGGGATGCATCGTGGTCTGTTTACCAGACTTATTAGCGTCCTGAGGCGGGGACATGATCATCTGCGTGGTCCTCGATGCTGCCATTTAGCTGGTGGAATGGAATGAATGCAGATTTTGGATCTACAGATGAGCACTGTCGGCAGGGAGCAGATGAAGTGGATGGGTAGGTGGGGCGAGCGGTTTTGAAAGCCCACCTGTAGATGAATTTCCCTATCGCACTTGAATGCTCTTTCACCACGGTGAATTCCTGGGTGAACTCACCCTCAGTGTTGCCAAGCTGGCCAACCTGGGACATGGGTGCATTAAGAAGACGAACTCTGTCAAAATTTGGCGTCAGTAACATGAAAGCATGGATCCATCCTGCCTTGAACCAATGGTTCAGGCTGGTGGTGGAGGTGTAATGGTGTGGAAGATATTTTCTGGACACATTTTGGGCCCATTAGTACCAATTAAGCATTGTGTCAATGCCACAGCCTACCTGAGTATTGTTGCTGACCATGTCCGTTCCTTTTTGACCACACTGTACCCATCTTCTGATGGCTACTTCCAGCAGCATAACGTGCCATGTCATAAACTCATCTCAGACTGGTTTTTTAAACATGAAAATGAGTTCCCTGTACTCAAATAGCATCCAAAGTCACCAAATCTCAATCCAATAGAGCACCTTTGTTATGTTGCGGAAGAGGACCGTCGCATTATGGATGTTTAGCCAACGAGTCCAACACAGCACTAGTAAAGTGTACCTAATAAAGTGGCCAGTTATTTTATCTCTATGTGGCACTCTCAGTCATAGAGCTTCAGTGAAAATGAAACTAGAAGCTTCTCACTTGACTTTCTCACCATACTTTCTAAAAAGTGGCCTTGAACTTCAAACAGACTTGAAAATGTTTGCAGAATGTGTCCATGCATTTCCATCATATCCAGAATATAACTGAATATTACAATCATTTTTGTCCACTGCAGCACAATAGGTGTATTAAAAAACATATCCTCATGCCCTCAAGACTTTGCAACTTTATTTTTGTAGACTACACATATTTCTCAGTTTCCAAATGGTCTTATGGGAGGTTAATTCCAACTGAATAGCACATTTTTGTGCTGCTTCATGTCTCAAAAGAATTTGTGCATTTTACCGTTGGATCTATTGCAGGAGTTTTTAAATTACATTTTAGTCAAGACTAGACAGAGGTCCAAAACATTACAATGCATGTTGTTTCAGTAGCCAGTGTAATTTTTTGAATTAATAAAATACACTATGGCTGACTCTACTAGACATACCTGTCAACATCGGGATGGGAAAATAAGGGATATGCCCACCATAATAAGGGATCTCCCCCCTAAAAAAATCCCCAAATTAATAAATATGCAAATTACTCATTTGGAGCTGTTTCATTGTAAATAAACATTTAAATGGTCAGTAATATGTTCTAATATTAGTAGTATTTACAAAAGAAAAAATAAATAGTATACATTAGCAGCAAATAAATTAGCTAACAGTTTAGCTTTTTAAAATTAATAGCTATTATAACAAAATAGGATCAAGCTATCAAATCTCATTAGCCGTTTCTTCACTGTGTAAC